CATCTGTACATCGCGTCCGTGTGTCGTGTCTGTGCATCACGTCCGTGTGTCGCGTATGTACATTGCGTCTGCGTCGGCTGTGTCGCACACACAGAGCAGTTCATAGACGCTGTGTTCGGCGTCGTCTCGTCTGCCGTCTCGTCTGCCGTCTCGTGGGCCGTGAAGATGGGCTCAAGCTCCTTGCGCGGTGGCTCCCATGTTCCGCGGGACGTCCTCTCCGACAGCCCCGCACCGCTACCGCCGCCATCGCTCCGCGCACACCCCACCGCGGCCTCCAGCGCCCAGGTGCCTCGCGGCGTCCGTCATCGCCACCGTTTTTCCCATCGTCGTCAACGTCGGTAGCAGTGCTCTATCCGCTGCTGGGCGACGTTTTCGCCCAGCTCTCGATATCGGTGACGGACTTGAGATGTCATGATCCGTCTCGCGCCGGCACGCGAGATTAATTCATCGCTCCATCTCCCGGGTTGACGAGCTGTCGAGCGAGTACCCCCTCCCCTTTGCCTGTCAATCAGTCGTTGGTCTCAACCACCGGCCATCGTTCTTTCCAGCGACGTGTCCTGCCCCAGCTTCGAGTCTTTAATCTGCGTATGTATCTCATGGCGACCTTGTAATTTACAATGTGCTCCTTTGCCTCCTCTCTCTTCCCTTTCTTCTTTCTCCGTCCATCTCACTCTTTCTGTCACTCTCTCCCAACTCCTCTCCCTCTTGTTGCGTCCCCTCCTCTTCCCTCTGCCTCTCTCGCTGTCCCTCCCTTGTCATCCTTCACCCACGATATTTCCATCTCTCCCATTTTCTCCTCCCCTCTCATTTCCCCCTCTGCGAATCTCTCTCTACCCCTGCACGCATCCTCTCTCTTCTCCTTCACGCCCAGTCCTCTCCTTCTTTATCTCTCTCTCTCCACGTCGTTCCCTCTTCCTCCTCTCTCCTTTTCTCTTCCGCACCGCCTCTCCCTCTCCTCTCTCTAGTCCACAAGGAGACGGAGGCTGCCACAAAGAAGAGACCGAGACCTCCTGCAGTCACCCCCCCATGGTGCGTCTGTCACACAGTCCTCACGCTCGCGTGCGTGCACAAGTACACGTTTGTGTGCGCGTGCGTGCACGGACATATGTGTGCGCATGTACACTTACACATGCGTGTGCATGTACTTATGTGTGCACTTGTTTGTGTGCGCGTGCGTGCACGTACATATGTGTGCGCACGTGCAGATTCCCTCCAGCAGAATGGAGGAGCCAGCCCAGAAGTGGCACCGCCGCCGCAGCGCCGTCGTGCCGGGGACACGGGGCCCCCCACGGAGCGGCCCCCACCGCACGCCACCCCGGGCTCCATGCACGTCTGCCTGGAGAGGCTGCATCTGGAAGCGGACACGCGCGGGCCCCCCAACTCGGTCGACACCAGTGAGTGGAGGGGACCTGGGGGGGGGGGGGGCATCTGTGGGGCGAGGGTGGGTAGGTGAGGGTTTGAGGATGGGGGGGTGTGTGAGTGGCTTTGGTGGATGGTGAGGGCGTGTGGGTGCATGGAGGAGTGGATGGGTGAGCATGCGTTACGTGTGTACCGGTTAATGCACCCTGCTCCAAATCCAACAACTTTAGATAAATTCACAGCCAACATGAGTGGTGATTATCTGAATGGGTCCCTGTGCCTCACGTAGATCGACGCAGCCTCTAATGAGCGCCTGGTGTAGTGATTAATTATTAGCACCCGGGGAGACCAAGGTGGCTGGCACCTCATCGTGCGTGGCGGTGCCAGCCTTCACAGGTGCTGCTACTAACAGCCTGTACGGCTGTGAAGTTAAATGTTGTGATGCTCTTTTGTTCAGGGGCCTATGTGACAATCTCAGACGAGGGGGAGGAGGAGGAAGAGGAGGAAGATAGTGACTGCGATGTGTCCATCACTGGAATCATCCAACCACCTCGGCCCAACGGAGTGTTCAGGTACGGAAGCCGTTTAAACGCGCCCCCCCCCCCTTCCATTACGGATTGCTCCATGCATATTCTTTGGGTCTTTCGGTAAAGTCACGTAGATTGAAAAAAGAAAATAAATATCACGACGTTTCGATCGCAACACAAGCAGTCGTCATCAGGAGAAAACAAGATGACGACCGCTTGTGTTGCGATCGAAACGTCGTGACATTTCTATTCTTTTTTTCTACCCACGTGACTTTACCGAAAGACCCAAAGAATATGAATTCCTGCCGTCACGAAAGCTTCAAGTCAAGGTTTTCACTCCATGCAGTCGCTAGGCGATATCCGCGGAGACGTTCTAAATCGATGTTTTTGTTGAAACGCAGTTTGCTGAGCGCAGGAGGCTCAGAGGGTCAAAGTGTCGAGCGGCCGGAAAACAACCGTCGCTGGCAAAGTCGTGAATGCAGGTAGTCCTCTACTTGCGATGGAGATGCGTTACGACGACCCCATCATAAGTCGAAAATATCGTAAGTCGAAGATGGCCTCGCCTACCCAGGAGTCTTAAAGAATAGTGATAATTTAGCAAAACAGAGCAATTTACAGTAGCGTACTGTATAAGCTATATACTGTATGTATTTATTAATTACAATACTGTATTGCACAGTAAAATGTAAAGTAAAAAACGAGGTAAATTCTCAGCCTACCGATATGAACTGCAATTTAATAGAAAGTTTTTTTCAGGAAACAATCCTATCTGCTATTAAAACTTTTAACATGCATTGAACGTATCGTATCGTGGTAACCCGACCGCTGATGAGAGTGAAGCATCACACAAAGCGGGAGATGCGTATATTACATCCCAGCAGCGTCCCAACGTACAGCATCATACCTCGTACGCTGCTGCCTTTGCCTGCCGCGCGAAATTTACAATATTTTACAATTTTGTCGTATCGCCATCGCAAGATCGAAATATCGTAAGTCGGACCATCGTAACTCGGGAACTATCTGTAATCGATGAGTGTTATTAACGCCTTTCTCGAATTGAGCGAGGTAATTGCCGTGAGAGTTTGGGGGTGGGGGGTTAAAGAGCCGGTGAGAGGCAGTTACAGAGTGGAGCAGTGCGAGGGAATTAGCAGAAAGGATAGCGAAGTCACCTGCAGTGAGGTGAGTGGGTGAGTTGGTTGGTGAGCAGGTGAGTGAGTAGGTGGGTGCGTGAGTGAGCGAACGAGTGAGTGAGTGAGTAGGTGTGTGGGTGAGATATTCAGTGAGCGTGTGAGTGAGTGAGTAGGTGAGTGAGGCGTTATGACCTGCAGTGTGGTGAGTGGGTGAGTGAGTTGGTTGGTGAGCAGGTGAGTGAGTAGGTGTGTGGGTGAGTTAGTGAGTGAGCGTGTGAGTGAGTGAGTAGGTGAGTAAGTCGTGACCGGCAGTGTGGTGAGTGAGTTGGTTGGTGAGCAGGTGAGTGAGCACGTGGTTGAGTGAGCGAGCAGGTGAGTGAGTGAGTAGGTGTGTGAGTGAGTTAGTGAGTGTGTGAGGGAGTGAGTAGGTGAGTGAGTCGTTGTGACCTGCAGTGTGGTGGTGGTGGTTGAACACGGAGTGCAGGATTATGATGAAACAGTCGTAAGTCTGCTAAGACCGAGCCCCCTGCCATGGGAATGTGGAACTTCCCGCCGGTGGCTCAGGTCCGGGCCGAAGTTTCTCGAGCCGGCAGACTTGTCGCTCGGCAGTGACGCGAGGTCGCTGGCGTGGCGCTTGCAGGGAGGGGTACGGGGCCACAGACACGCCTCAGCGTGAGGAGCGCCTGGGCTTCTTTGGTGCCGCCCCCCGTGGCCGTCAGCTCCGAGTCGGCGCCAGTGCGGCGGACGGGCGGAGTGGCGAATTTCCGAAGCTCACCAAGGCACGCGCCGCGTCTGTGTGCGTGCGTGCGTGGTGGGTGTCTGTATTGCTACGTATGTGTGGATGTCTTTGTGTGTCTCTCTGTATGTATCCATGTGTGTTGCTCTGTGTGTCTCTTTGTCTTTGCGTCTCTGTGCATGTCTGTGTGCATTCGTCTCCACGTGTGTGTGTGTGTGTCTGTGCGAGCATTTCCACTTGCGTGCGTCTGTGTGTGTGCGTCTGTGTGTGTGCGTCTGTGTGTGTGCGTCTGTGTGTGTGCGTCTCCACGTGTGTGTGTGTGTGTCTGTGTGCGAGCATTTCCACTTGCGTGCGTCTGTGTGTGTGCGTCTGTGTGTGTGCGTCTCCACGTGTGTGTGTGTGTGTCTGTGTGCGAGCATTTCCACTTGCGTGCGTCTGTGTGTGTGCATCTCCACGTGTGTGTGTGTCCGTTTGCGGTGGCGTAGTGGTTAGCGCGCTGCGCTATGAACCTGGTGACTCGGGTTCGATTCCCGCTCACGGCCAACACCAGTGACGATTATCTGAACCGGTCCTGGGCCTCCCCTAGGTCGACTCAGCCTCAAATGAGTACCTGGTGCGGTATAAAAACATCACCACTTGGGAGACGAAGGCGGTCGGGCGTGGTGCTGGCCACCCACCCCCTCGTGTACCATTCCGGCCTTCATAGGTGCTCATTAACAGCACTTGCCCCAACAGTCTGTTAAGGCTATACAAGGAATCTTTGTTTTATCTTTGTCTCTGTGTGTCTCGGTGTGTGTGTCTGTTGTTTGTGCGTCTCCACGTGCGTGCGTGCCTGTTTGTGTGTCTGTGTGCGAGCATTTCCACTTGCGTGCGTCTGTGTGTGTGTGTGTGTGCGTGCGGTGCAGGAGATGGTGTTGGCTGTGACCGAGGCGTCGCGCGGGGATGACCCCGATGAGGTCGTGTCGCGACACGGCCTCCACTGCGTCACGCGGCAAGATCTGAACACGCTGAGCGGAATCTCGTGGCTCAATGACAAGGTGCACGCACGCGCGCACACACGACAGACAAAGGTCCCCCGTAGAGCCTACACAGGCCGTCGGGGCAAGTGCTGCGAATGGCCAACACGGAGCATGAGGGGGGGGGGGTGGTTGATGTTTGCACACAGCACCGGGCACTAATTTAAGGCCGAGTTGACCTAGGGGAGGCCCAGGGCCAGATCAGATATTCGTCACCAATGTTGGCCGTGAGCGGGAATCGAACTCAGTTCGCCTGGTTCGTAGCGCAGTACGCTAAACGCTTCACTTCCCTGCACACACGCGCGCACACAACAGTATGGCATTTGCCACTAATTGACGGTAACGGGCTAGGTGCACCTTGAGGCCAAGTGAAGTATCGCAGGCTTATTGACAGACCCAGGTGCCATGGGTTGACTGGCTGAGATGACTGACAGATGCACCACCTGTGCCCGATTCGGAGTCAGAACTCTGCTGCCAAACTGGAGCGGGTCACGAGCACACTGCCCAAATGCGTGGTCGTCCTCTACTCTGTCCACAACTCTGCTCCACTGCGTACCCTCTCCCCGTGTCTCCCTCCTCCCTTGCGTGTCCAAATCCACGCTCCGTCGCTTGCCTCCCGGTCCATCCGCCCGCCCGCGCATCCGCAGGTCATCGACTTCTACATGAGCCTCTTGTCGGAGAGCGGGAGCAGCGGCGGTGCCGTTGGCAACGGTGTCGCGGGCGGCGCCGCGCCCATCTACGCCTTCACCACGTTCTTCTACACGCGCCTGCAGGAGGGCGGCCCCGCGGCCGTGCGTCGCTGGACCAAGCGCGTCGACCTGTTTGCCTGTCGCATCCTGCTGGTGCCTGTGCACCATGGGACGCACTGGTGTCTTGTTGTAAGCGGCCTCCACCTCATCCCCCTCACCCCCCCTCACTCCCCCTTCTCCCCCCTCTTCATCCCCCTCCTCCTCCCCCTCCCCCTCCTCCTCCCCCTCCTCTTCCCCCTCATCCCCCCTCCTCCTTTCTCCTTCCCTCCTCTCATCCCCCCTCCTCCCCTTCCTCCCCCTCATCCGCCCACCTCACCCCCCTCCTCCCACTCATCCCCCCTCCCCCCCTTCCACCCCCCTCATCCCCCTCCTCCCCCTCATCCCTCCTCCTGCCCCTCATCTCTCCTCCTGCCCCTTCTCCCATCCTCCTGCCCATTGCGCTACACTTGGCACAGCACCAACTCTCCACTACAACTGAACAACCATGTTGATTTTGCCAGGTTGCACGGCCCGCTGAGCTACGTAGCTCTCTTTCAGCAGCAACCTGGCCATCACAGATGGTAGCCACAACCAAGTGGGCTCATCATCGTCGTCGCGTGCAAATTCATAGCAGCAGCCAAATCCTCCAGACGCGCTTTTAACATTCGTCGCACGTAACCCTGCGATGGCGGCCGTGGTGCGCGAGCACGTTTCGGGCGACGACCCTTCTTCAGAGCGCACGCGTGTGCGGGAGACAACGGCGGTCACGTGCGGCGTTGGCCACCCCTCCCCTCCGTAGGCGCGCTCTCCCGGCCTTCACGGTTGCTCGCTGATGGCGCTTTCCTCAGCGGTCTGTTCAAGGGTACCCACGGGGGATCTTTGTCTCTTTGTGGCTGCAGTCGTGTGTGTGCGTGTTGCGTCTTGGCTGTAGGTGATTGACATCTGCAAGAAGCGCATCACCTACTTCGACCCCCTGGGCTCCAGCAACAATGCAGCATGCCGAAACCTCCTGTAAGATGCGTCACAACAACGCAGCACAACAACAACAACGCAGCACAACAACAACGCACACACGGCTAGAGCGACGCAGTGAACTTACACAGCAGCGCAACACCGCAGCGACGCAGTGTTGCAACACGGACACAATTGAGGTTACAAAGCGGAGCAACGGCACGACGCAGCAATAAGTTCACAGCAGTAAGGCAACCTGACCGCAGCACAATGTGGCACAACCACAGCAACAACCACAACAACCACAGCAACCACAACAACCACAACAACCACACACCTGAATAGCCCAACATGGAAAATGACACCACCGCAGCACGACCTGACAACACCCCGCTACAGCACAACCGTATTACCCGCCACAACGATGCCTGCCGAGTTCTCATGCGCGCATGGGTTCATCGTTATAATTGTAATAACAACTTGACGGAGGATACAATGCTGCTGCTCCTGCTGCTCCTCCTCCTCCTGCTGTTGCTGCCGCTCCTGCCGCTGGCGCTGCTGCCACCGCGTCGGTGATTGGACGCGTGCAGGCGCTACCTGTGCGAGGAGAGCGAGGCGAAGCGGGGGCGGCCGCTGGCTTCCCGGGACTGGGCGCTGCGGGGCTGCATGGCGCCCGGGCTGCTGGCGTTGCCGCGGCAGAGTGGCAGCAACGACTGCGGCGTGTTCGTGTGCCAGTTCGCACGCAGCACCGCGCTCGGCCTCGAGCCCGACTTCGGGCAGGTGAGCGAGGGAGGCCGTCGCGTGACCCCCGCCTGGGTTGGGCGGGTTGTGAGCGGGTGAGTAGAGCGGGTGAGTAGAGCGGGTGAGGGAGCGTGGCTCCGGGTGGGCGAGTGTCACGGGAACTCGGGTGAGCGGGAGTCGTGGGGTACCAGGGCAGGTGAGCGAGGGAGGCCGTGCGTGACCCACGGGGGCGGGTTGAGTGGATGAGTAGAGTGGGCGAGTGAGGGTCGGGTGGCTCCGGGTGGGTGAGTGAGTGTCACGGGACTCGGGTGAGCGAGAGTGCATGACTGAGTCCCATGACCTGGGCGGTAAGTGCGCTTATGGGTGAGTGTCGCATGACCCAGGTACCCGGGTGGGTAAGTGAGAGTCGCATGACCTGGGCGGGTGTCACGTGACCCTGTGTCACCTGGGAGTTGTGGACGTGGAGGCGGTAGTGGCGTCGTTCACCTCGTCCGATTGTCGTCCTCGGCACTGCCGGTGCCTCGTGCGTACTCGTGCCTCTCTACGTTTGTCTGTCTGTGTTCGTGTGCCGTGCCGGCCTACACAGGGGCTACTCGCTCATAGCACTCGCCCCAAGTGCGGTGGTTAGCGCGCTGCACTACGGAGCCGGCGATCCAAATTCGATTCGCACTCCAGGCCAAGACCAGTGATGATTATCTGAACTGGTCCTGGGCCTCCCCTCGGTCGATTCAGTATTAATTGAGTACCTGGTGCGATATGCAAATATCACTACTGGGAAGACAAAGGCTGCCAGGGACTGCTGGCCACACAGCCCCTTGGTCTTCACAGGTGCTCGCCACAACAGCACTTGCTCCCAACAGTCTGTTACGGCTATACGGGGGAAGCTTTGTGCGTTATCTGTACGTGTGCGCGTGTGTGCCAATTTGTGTGGAACAGCAGCACATGGTGTACTTCCGATGGCGCATGGCCTGGGAGATCCTGCACGCGCGGCTCCTGTGAGGAGCGGTGGCGGCGATGGCGGCCGGTGGAGGTGGCGGCCGTTTCGGCAGGATGGAGCGAAATGGAGCGCGGAGACGGGGAGGGTCGTCGAGCAGACGGGGACGTTGCGTCGACGATCGGCAACATTTAATTGCGTGACGTTACATTTCTGGAATGGATTTTCAGAAATTTTTCACGGACAGCTCGCAGTCGCGCCAACGTTGGCAAGTAGTGGTGGGAACCGCTGGAACCGACGTTGAGGCAACGTTGAGGTTCAGGCTTCCGCGTTTACTGGGGCAGAACGGCCGCTCGCTCAGCGGACGTCCCGTTGCGCGACGCCGTGTGCTCGGAGCTCGCGATGCGGAGACTTGGTCGAGCGCGCGTGGCCAGGAGGCGCCACCGTCAGCTCGGCCGCGCCGAGGCTGCAACAGAAGAGACACCGAGGCCGGGAGAGAGAGACCCGGAAACAAGGAGACGCAGTTCGAGAGAGAAGCCTTCGCGACGAGCGGTGAACGCACTGCCGCTCGACCGTGCGGATGAAGGAGGGAGATGTATTCGAGATGGAGGGACGATGAGGATGAGAGACTGGGATGGACACGAAGTGAGAGGACGGGAGGCTTGCAGAGAGGCTGTGAGCGACCAGCAGGCACGTGAAGATGGGGGCGGTGGCGGTGGCGGTGCAGGCAGTGGGGAATGAAGTGAGGTGACAGGAGGGAGGCGAGAAGGAAGATGAGGTTTAAAGGAGGGACAGGGGTGGTGACGGCCACCTCAGCCGACAAAGCAGTGTTTTCTTTTGCGCGAGGAGTTTGCCAAAGGCTTCCAATTCTTCTGGATTACGCCACTCGACTGCTGTAACTTAGACGTACGCAGGGTGTCGTGCTCGGGACGAGTTTCGGATTTGAAAATTTGCTAAGTTTTGCGAATTATAAGGACCGCCTCATTTCTTGTGGGAATTTCGTGTTTAATTCTGCACTTCGTATTTAAACGCCCCAGTGCCAATTTCCGGACTCGGTTCGATTTATAACTTGGTTCGATTTATAAATTATATTTTTCGGAGTACGCATCGCCGCCGCGTGTTACAGGCATGTACCATGCGTGTGCATATAATACACACACGAATTTGGACACGGGAGCGTGCGGTGTTTCTTTTTGTTGTTGGTACGGAACAACCCCTTTGTTTTATTAATTTACATCGGAATGTAAAAGTGCAGATCGAGTCTCTCGGACCACTTTACAAGAGGGACGCCGCTCTGGTCGCTGTGGCCTGAAAGGTTGCAGCACAAACTCGGGCAAACCTCCTGCTGCACTCCCGCACACGAAGTCGCCTCGCCACGCTGCGCGATGCTGCCTTGCGGGATCCCAATTTCCAATTTCTCATTGTGGCGATTTGTTGGTGTCGTCGTCGTCATCATCCGACCGCTTTTTTTTGCACGTGAAGAGGTGACCGGCGAGTGGCTCGGAGGTCAGGGATACCGGGCCGGCATCGCCGATATTCCTGGCTTCCAATCCGGCTTCAGCCGCAGCCTGTGATTGATGAACCGTTCCTCTCCAGCTCATCCTGGTCACCAACTGCCCGGAGGAGGAGGAGCCACAGACTCGCACAGACGCCCCGTGGAACTTCACTGCCAGTGTCCCACCGACTGACCTGAGGTTCATCTTCTTGGTTCTTTCGGTAAAGTCACGTAGAATGGAAATAATAAAATAATAAAATAAAACATCAAATAAATCTCACGGGCATAAGTAGTACTAATCACATACCTGCATTTCCCATAAATATGCTAAATTCCTCTTGATATGCAAATTCTTTTGTCAAGGCGCCCTTCCCCCCCTTCCAACCCAGCTTAAATATACGCTCCAAGCGTGGTGGTGTTTCATTCAGACGCTGTCTCCCCGACAGACCTGTCTTCACCTGAGGACGGCTGTTTGCGTTGTGGCCGAAACTTCGTGAGAATTATTTAATGTTTTATTTTATTATTTCCATTCTACGTGATTTTACCGAAAGAACCAAGAAGATGAACCCCTGCAGTCACGAAAGCTTTAAATCGAAATTTGACCTGAGGTAGTGCACCCGAAGATCTTGGGTCGTACCCTGAGACCAGATGCATCTCCGGAGTGCCTTCCAACACGCGCAGGGTACGGTGGTATTCAACATCAAAGATTTGGGCCGAGGGCAAGTGACAACTTGCATTTTATTTTCATTTAAAAGTTTAGTTAAAAACAAAACATCAACACTGCCAGAAATGCATCCATTGTTACAAAAACAACATTGTGCTCCCAAAGTTCACGCGGCCGAGCGCGAGTATGCTCGCACATTGGAGAGCAGCGGTGGAGTGGTTGGCGCACCGCGCTACTAACCCGACCACCAGACTTTGATTCCCGCTCGCGACAAGAAGGTTGCGAATGTTTGAAGCGGTCCCTGGGCCTCCCCTTGGTCGACGACTCGGCTCCGCATGAGCACCCGTTGCGGCGTGGAAATGTAAACAGCACTGGGGAGACAAAGGTGGCCGGGCGTGGTGTTGCCCCCCCCCCCCCCCCGTGTGCCGTGCCGGCCTTCGTAGGTGCAACTCGCGAACAGCACTTGGCCCAACAGCCTGTTCAAGGCTACACGGGGCATCTTTGTGTGCACCTGTACACGTACTGGCCTTGTGTCAATCCACTGCTGGATGACTGCATGAGGGTCGTTGAGGTGTGGAGCGGCGGGGGTGAGGGCTGTGGGCAGGGGGTGGGGGGGGTTATCCGACCAAACTTCACAGAGTCGGCGCAGTGTATGCCGGTGAAGGCGTTGTGGGGGGGGGGGGAGGTGACCAGGTGACGTGGTGAGAGAGAAGGCGCTGCAGCCGCCTCTTGATTCGGGGGCGACGCCAGAACCGCTTCGCCCGGCGTCGTCTGGGACTCGACGGACCCACGACGCGTGGGGGGAGGAGAGCTCGGGCCCTTGGCGACCGCCCGGCAGTGCCGGTGACGTCGTGACACCTCCAGCGGGGACGTCGTTTCGTGCCTCCGGTTTGGGTGAGAGACCCAAACCGATCGGCGCACTTGCCCGTGACGTCGACGGCTCCCGTCTCATCGTTCCGTGTGGAGGGCTGCGGCGTGACGCCCGCACGACGTTGTGACCGCCGAACAGAAGAACCGGTTGTGACTCGTAATATTGGTCGAGAAAGCCGACGCGTAAAAAATCATTATCGTTATTACACCTCGCCCCATGTTTTGAAGACTGCAGCCGGTCTGCAAGGAGCGGGCATCGGTCTGCCAGCAGGGTGGGACGGGGCTAAGTGGCTCATCCATGACGAGTAACTTGCAAGCGATTTGGCAAATGCAGGATCTTCACGGTTAATACGCGCACCCCGCGTGATTAACCGCGGCGGCCTCTCGGTTCCGGACCGCCGACCTCGCGAACCCTCCGCAGCAGCGGGCGGACGACGCCAAACGGCGCTCAACCCGAACATTCCGAAATCCGCCGCCGTTCCGCGAACGGACGGCGAAGCCCGGCTGCTGCGGCTGCTGCGGCTGCTGCGGCTACGTTGTTGTCGTTGTTCTCGCTCACGAGGCTGCCGAGCCGCCGGTCGTGCCGGAAGGTTCCAGGGCTCGCGGACAGCGGGAAAACTTCGGCGACGTCACCGCCCGCCGCCGTGTCCACCGTGCCCGCCGCCGCCGTGTCCGCCACCGCCGCCGTGTCCACCGTGGCGATTGCCCCCGGCGGTGGAATGCGGTGGCGTGCGCTCCGTGCCGTCGAGCATCTCGCGGATGAGCGGCGGCAAGGAGCCGGGGATCTCGGTGGTGAGGGTGAGGACTCGCTCGGCGCCTGTGGGGTGGCGGGGGGGAAGGAGGGGGGGGGGAAGGGATGGATCGACGTGGGGGAATCGCGAGTTTTACGACAATCTTCACCGCCGCGTGAAGCGCGTTGAGCTGCTGGGATCTCGCCGGTGAGGCGCGGCAGCTGCTCTCGGGCCTCGTCTGCACCAGCGGTCTCGAGAGAAGTGCAATTGTGCCCCCCCCCGCCCTCGAATTCTGTCTTACAGACCGCCAAGGAAATAAGTGGAGTCGAACCTGGCGGCCAACGTGTACCCAGTGCGTAGCCACGTCGCCGCAAGTCGACTTGTAACGCCGCAGCCACACGGCATCCGCTCGCCGCTCTCGCGGACTCGAGGCGAGAACGACTCGCGGGGCGCCCACAGCGACCCAAGACGAACCCCGGCGCCGGCGATCGCCCAAAGCGTCCGCGCTCCTCCGCGCGGCATCGCGCGTCGGCGGCGCCCGCGTCACCCGCGGCGCCGGCCGCGGTCGAACTCTTACCCTTGGCGCCGATGCCGCGCAGGTCGGTGACGGCCATGAGGATGCGCGCGAAGGCCCGGGGCTGCGCCGGGCGTCTCCGCCGCCCCGCGTGTCGCTCCAGCGCCGCCAGCAGCGGCTCCTGCAGGCGCTCGACGCGCGCCGCCTCCTCCAGCCCCTCGCGGTCTGCGGCCGCCGAGTCCGGGGCAGACGGGTTAGCGATGGGCGATGGGCGACTCGCTGTACCCCACGCCCTCTCAACCCCCCTCCCAACCCCCCACTACTGGGCCGGCCTCTCGAGCTCCTTGGTGGTCACTCATCTATCGCCCGCTCGGCTTGCAACCCTAGCGGCGCGCCGTCTGTCGCCGGACCGCCGTGGCCCTCGCGGCCCTCGCGGCCCTCGCGGGCCTCGCGGCCCTCGCGGCCCTCGCGCCCCTCGGCCCCGCGGCCCTCGCGGCCCTCGCGGCCCTCGCGGGCCTCGCGGCCCTCGCGGCCCTCGCGGCCCTCGCGGCCGTCGCGACCCTCGCGACCCTCGCGGCCCTCGCGGCCCTCGCGGCCCTCGCGGCCCTCGCGACCCTCGCGGGCCTCGCGACCCTCGCGACCCTCGCGGCCCTCGCGGCCCTCGCGGCCCTCGCGGCCCTCGCGGCCCTCGCGGCCCTCGCGGCCCTCGCGGCCCTCGCGGCCCTCGCGGCCCTCGCGGCCCTCGCGGCCCTCGCGGCCCTCGCGGGCCTCGCGGGCCTCGCGGGCCTCGCGGGCCTCGCGACCCTCGCTATCGCGGCCCCCACCACCGGCACGGCCCTCGCCACCCTCGCCATCGCTGCCCCCCGCGACCCCCCCCCCCCCCGCGGCGAGCCTCACCGCCGCACACGAGGCAGACGGCGCTGAGCAGCGCGGCCTCGGCGTCGTCCAGCGCCAGCGCGTGGAGCCGCCCGGCGAAGGCGAAAACGTCGTCGGTGAGCGGCCCGCCCAGCGCCGCGCTGCCCATCTGCGTGCGCGTGAGCGTGAGGCCGTCCGAGAAGGTCACCGTGTCCCGCGCCGGAGTGTAGCGCGTGCACATGCGCAGGATCTGTGGGGTGCCGGTGGGGGGGTCAAGGGGTCGAAGAGGTGAGGTTGGGGTCGGGGCAGCAGCGGCGGCTTTTGGCTCGGCCGTCAAACGAAGGCGGTGGTCACGGCGTCGCGCGGCGCTTTCAGGTGCGCTTCCGCGCCCGTCTGGAACGCTCTTCCCGCACTTTTAAATAATCTAGATTGAGAAACTAATCTCTTTTGAACTGCTTGTTGTTGTGTTTAGTTTCTTGTCCTTCGACCCCGGCCCGCACCTCCGATGAGCACGGTGGGCTACGTGCAGGGTGGTGCGAAAGAAGTTGAACTCCGTTCAGAGCAGCTGTTGCCACAAAAAGACGTGGGTCAAGGAAGATGTTTTTCGGAGAGGGGCACGGGGGCAGTGGCGGATCCCAGGAGGTGGTGGTGGAGATGATGGGGGCAGTAACCCCCGCCTCACCCTCCCCCCCTTGAGCCCCCTTTCTTGATACCCACAGTATTGGTATTTTGTCGATATTTACCGAACATTGTTGATTTTTTTTGGGTTAATGCAAGGCCCGATTTTTTGTTTTAAACCTTGAAATTCTGGGACTACTCGCCCCACGCTCACCCTCCCCCCACCCTGGGAGGTTTCTTTCTGCATCCGCCTCTGGCTCGTGAATGCCGGCTGCGGCACGGACACCGTGCAGGAGGAATGTGGAACGCTGCGAGGCAACGTTGGCGACGCGCCCACAGAACGCAGCGACACGCTCCGGGAATCCTGGGGCCTTGCATGCTCCGCAATAGGCCGCAGGCGAGGTCACACGTGACGTCTTCGTGTATTGTGGCAAGGGGGGGGTCACACGTGACGTCTCCATGGGGTTACTTGGGGAGTGGGAGGGGTGGGGAGCATCAGCGGTCCCCGGCACGTGCAGCGAAACGTCGGACATCGTGCCAAACAACGCGCGGTACGAACACTGGTCGGACGGCTATAGCCAAGTCGGCCTGACTGACCAACTGATTTGTTAACTCGCTGACTGACTCGCTGATTGATCGACCGACCGAGTCGTCGGCAAACCGATTGGTTGCCTGGCCAGC